CATCAGGTCCCATGGGCTTGTGCACGTTCAATTTCTTAAGGTTGTCTCGAACCCCATCCTCTCCTACAGTGGGCCTAAGGTCTTCATTCTCACAGTCCCTGCGTTGGCCTTCCAAGGCTTGGGTGGTGTGGTCTGAGCATTTGCTAGTGAAGACTGAGGCAAAGAAGTCATTAAGAACCTCAGCCTTCTCCAAATCCAGGGTAGCCAGTCCTCCCGATAGCTTCTGAAGAGGGCCCACATTGTCCCTAGTCTGTCTTTTATTTGCTACGTACCTATAGAAGCCTTTCCTGTTATTTTTGACGTCTCTTGCCAGATTATGGCATCTAATCATGGTATCTAATAAACTAAATCACTTATGAATATTGTGGTGATGTCTGACACATGGTTATCCCTGTGCTAACCAAAGCCTGCTCTGCTGCTAGACTGTGAATCTTTGTAGGAATATAAATGCCCATGGATGGCAAGCACTGAAGCACACCTGCAACACAAATTTTAAACAAAAGAATAGCCTGAAACTATCTGTGAATCAGAAATACTTGCAATACTTGAAGTAGGTAACGGAACAGTAAGAATAGACTTATTCTGGGCAACTTGTGAATAGGTTAGAAAAGGGCTAAACAGCACATCACAGTGTCTGCTGTGCTCTGACCAATACAGCAGCAGAATGTCAGAGCTGGCCAGTCTCACTTTAGTCATACAGTTCTTCAGAATCCTCAGTAAATGCAATATTACTCATTCAGTATTTGTGGGAGGGCCTGAACAAAACCAATGAGGTGTATGAGCTAGCACTGAACAGCCAGAATATTGTCATTACTTTTATATAGTTCTTTCTTCAGACACAAATGTGACTGTTTCATTTCAAAGTCATTTTACTAGAACATTTCCTAACATGAAAAAGGTGAAGGCTTACCTCTAATAGCACACTGCTGATGATGGGGTTAAGAAGCTCTGCCTTCATACTGCTCTGTAAACCGGAAAATAGAATGAAATGCCAGGACAAGAGATACATTTAACAGAAATACACTGGTATCTGAGAAGTGGTTTTATGAATTCTATAAAGGTCTGGCTTCACCTTGATTCTTATTCATACTCTTTATCACAGTATTCCTGATAACTACATCTACATTTCATACACACTTCAGCAGACCCTGCATATTTCTATCACTGAGTACAATGAACTAAAACAGGCTGAGGGGTTTACTTTTTGATTAATTCATGGAGTTTGAAATTGCCTGGTTTCCTATGGATGTGAGATTTATGGGACATTACCTGTCCATGTGCTGTCAGTGCCCTTTTCAACTCTCTCAAAATTTTTTAACCCCTTGCTCATTTTCAAGGAAACAAGAAGGAAAAATACAGGTTAGAAGGAAAATGAAGTTTTCAGGAGTTTCACAAATATCTGTGGTTAGGAGGAAATTAATGGCCCAGATTAGCTCCACTACTGAAGGAAAAGCAGATGAAACTTAGATCCCCAAACTGGAGGCAGTAAATGCTGGACAATGCAGGCTAGTCAGTAAACATAGCTCAGCAAACAAAGCATTTTTCTTAACCACTAGATAGGAATAAAGACACGTACACAGAATCACAGAATAGTTGGGGTTTGAAGGGACCTCTGGAGATTATCCAGTCAACCTCCCTGCTAAAGCAGATTACACAGGATCGTGCCCAGGAGGGATGTGAATATCTCCAGAGAAGGAGACTACAATGTCTCTGGGAAGCCTGTTCCAGTGCTCTGCCACCTTCAACATAAAGAAGGTTTTCCTCATATTCAGATGGAACTTCCTCTGTTTCAAGTTGTGCCTGTTGCCCCTTATCCTGGGCAACAGGCAGAACAGAGCCTGGCCCCATTCTCTTGACACCTGCCCATAAGGTATTTGCATGCATGTACAATGAGCAGTGACGCTATTAGAGGCTAGGAAACCAGGATTCATCACCTTTCCATCTTTTTAAATGGCAAAAGTGTGTTCCTTTCTTTATTTCCACTGTTCTTTGCATTGTGCTTTTTTTAGAAAGACAGTAACCTCCAGCAAGAGCTGCTTTCTTTCAATACCAAACAGTGGTCTTTATTAGAGCAAAGGAAACACAATACCAATTAATTTAACTGAAGGATTTCCCTGCAACCTTGTAGCTTTCATATTACAGATTTAAAGAAACATGAAACACCTTAATTTCAGCTTGGAGAAAGATGGCAGAACAAAGGGAAGATGGTTTGAGAAAAGAAGAGCAATTCTACTGTCAGTTACTAGAAAATCCATTATGAAGTACACTGTTTAGTTGATTGTCAATAAGCTGAAACGGATAGAGTGCAGCATCAATTAAATACTATTGATTGTATGAATCAATAAGTCGAAGTTTGAAAGAAATCCTGCATAGCAAGCAAAGCTGTTACTTCTTACTTCTGCATTACTACTCACTTAAAAACATTGCCAACATTATGGACTATGTGTACAGCCACCACTATAAATACTGCCTGAATTATACAGCCATAAGGATGGCATTATGTTTGAAAAAAACAGTACTTCCCATTCTAAGCCATTTTTCAGCTTCCCACAAGTCAATGCACTTTGCAGGATACTGGAATGTGCTTGTAAACATGGGTGCTGTTGGCAGGCTAAGGAGGAAGTTGGACCTCTGGGACATGCAGGAAGATGTAGGTTTTCTAGAGTCCTAAAGTGTGACAGGTGCTCCTTGCTTTCCTACTGATCATGGTGAGCGGAAGGCCCACATCTTCCTCCAAAAGCTTACAGGGATGGGACAGCATATAAAGATCACCCTCTAAAATTATCTTCTAGAGAGTATTTTAGCAGTGGAAAACATCTTTGTGCTCAATTTTTTTTGTGTCCACACAAATGTCCACAAAACCAATCTGGGCTTAAAACTAAAAATTCAGTACAGAGTTGACGAGAACAAACCCCAGTGCAATGCTTACAAAAGCTTCAGGTTCCAATTTTCTGAGCTAGGCCAACTTAATATTTCATGAGCAACTTATTTTTATATGTCTGTGCATGTACTTATTGCAACTGTCACACAAAGATATGCTAAAATACAATCTTAAAATGCAAAATAAGCACTTTCTTCCAGAGTAATGGGAAGGAATGTAAATTATTCAGAATAAAAGCAATCCAATAAATCATGTTTTCCACAAATAACTCTGAAAAAATTGCTCAGAGATGTGCTGGAAGAGTCTATGGGAGAATTGAGAAAATTTCCTTTGATGTTCTTTCATGTTTTCATGGAGTGATTGGGAGAGCCAGAGTTTGTTTTTCTCTGACGTTTGCCGAACAATTTCAGCAACAGCACGATTTTTGCCTCTGGATGCTGCCAAAATACTCAAATATCCATCAGTCATCTTGGAAACTTCCTGGCAGCAGGGTACTATTTCTAGCAAAGATGTTCACAGATAAATGGATGTTCCTAAATGAAATATCTTGAGATATAAGACAGAGTGTTTTGGTTTCATTTTTGCTTGGGTTTTTTTTAAGATGGGCAACCAAAGAGATTTTCTAATCTCTTAAACCATTTGAAAACAAGTGGCCCTAGTCCAGGGGAATTAGCAAAGGCTAATGAAGCCATCGTAAGGTACTGGAATATGTTAATGACTTTTACACAAATGCATTCAAAAGGGATAGGCTGAGTAGGAGAAGAAAATAACATCAAGCTGTGGGATTTCAAATGTGGGGCCCTTTCAGTACAAGAAGATAAGAATTTCTAAGTGGTAATAGGGAAAAATGGGAGAGATTTTAGAAGGCAGCGGACACACTGCAGTCTATCGAGGCTTATAAACTCTCTGCAACAGGGAATCTGCTGTAAAAATGCTCTGTGTTCTTCATCTGAGGAAAGAAGTGCCCATTTTGCTGGTACCTCAGGTAAAGCTGCCAGACCCAGGTAATAATTTCTGTTTCAAGAAGTGATCTATGCTAAAAAAAGCCCAAATGCTACAAAAAATGCTGTTATCTTACCCCAGCTGCTGTTACAGAATCGGAAAACTTCTTGGATAAAGATGAAACTTCATTGCACATGGCATTTGTTAAACTGGTTTAAAAAAGAGAGACAAATATAAAAATACATCTTTGTCCAGTTAATGGATGAAACCCTTATCCCAGGCACACACTTCCTCTTAGAAGCCAAGAATGTTAGGGAAATTTTGCTTTTAGTAATTTTTTAAATATTTTGGGGTAGTCTTTCTTCATGATATAGTTTTTATATTTCTCCACTGAAAAATCCATGGCAGACTACAGCAGTAAAATGATATCATGTTGGCTCAAACACTGCTCTTCTTTGACAGGGAAATGTTTCCATTTTTTAAAGTCCAAACTCCTAGATTAACTATGGTTTTCCTGATAATTGCAGCAACACAACTCCTAGAAATTCTACTGGAAATAAATCAAACTTTAATGAGAACAGTGAGAAGTTTCCTATCTAAGCAATAAAATATCTACTCTAAATGTACTAAAAAGGAAGTACCCTTCTGGTTAAAATATGAGCAAACAAGGAGTTCTATTCCAAGACCTTTCACTGTTCTGCTAAACAGTCACAAATGCATCATCTAGAACCTGATCCTGCAAAGTGCAACATACCTTAGCTCTAATTCGGAAAAATACTTGTTCAGGTACATTATTTTAGACTGAAGCGTTTCTATGGCCTTTGCTATTGTTACTAGCATTCCCAAGGATAAACACTTGCTGAAATAATTTACTTAACTCAGGACTCAAGTGCTTACCACACCTTAATGTCAAAATCCACTGAAATCAGTAGAATTGATCACTACAGAGAGCTTGAGATCTGAATTTTGAGTCCCACTAGATAAAGTGGCTTCTTCAATTTATGTATGTTTTCTCATGGTTTACTGCAAAGCTGCTGACAAATCTGGCTTTGTTTAGAACTGCAGATTGACTTTTCTGCATTTTTGGCAGATGAACAGTAGATAATGAAACTATTGGCAGATAAGGCGACTGCATTGTGCACTCTAATATCAAACTGTATGTATGCCAGCAAAGAGAATAGGAAATGCAACCCAAATTAGCATGTACATTCACTTGCTGGAACAGAAACAACTTTCAGACTACAAACAGGTCATGTTTTTGTAAACATACATATGCTGGCCATGTCAGAAAATTACATGTAGCCTATGTAACTTGATTACATGAGAAAACGTACACCAGGACCCGGAAAGCCAGTACTGTTCGTTGATCCATGAACTTAGTATGCCTTCAGGTGCCAAAAACTGAACAGACCTTCACAGTTTTAAGCAAATGTCAAATGTTCATATTACTCACTTTGTCAGTACTTTCGCTTGATCTTGAGCTGTTTTTTCTACTTCCTGCCCATGCAGAATTAATTCTGCTACTTTATGAAGCTGTTCAATACAACGAGCAGTTACCTCAGCCAGACTTTCAATGGACAGCATGTAGATTTCCTTGAATTAAAAACAGGGAATAATATAACCAATAATAACAACAGTAATAATTACATGTATAGATATATACATATGAAAGTATTTGAAACACGGGAGCCCTCCCTGCCCCAACTGGAAATGCTGCCACATACATAGTGAAGTAATATCAGCCATAATGTCATCCTCACAAACAATACTGGAAAATTAAATATCCACACATTATAACACAGACCTTACACTCATCCTGAAAAAACAGTAAGAACAAGTCCACCATTTCCATTTATTTGGATGGGAACTAGGTCAGGCTCTCGGATTTTCTAACATAGCATTTTTAAACTTAGTCCTAACAAATACAAAGATCCCTTAAGTCTAGAATAAGTCATAATTAATTTCATCTGGAGCCAAAAGTACTGGATCATCCCTCAGACGACTCTCCAGAGTAGAAATGGGTAATACTCCCAATAAAAAAGTGGCTTTTATCCTCAATGATAAAAATTCTACCCAGCACTATGGCGCTACACCTTTCGTAAGCTAATGCCAGCTGGAAATCTGCAATCACATAAAAATTTGTAATACATACAGTGTAACTCTGTCTCCTTTGGGCCGTTTTTGTAAGAAAACATGAGATAATTTCTTTATTAGAATTCATTCAAAAAATCTTGACAAAGATACCAACCACATTTAATATTGCTGTAACTTGGTGTAAAATATGTAATCAAAATTAACCTTATCAACAAGAGGGGTTACCTAAATGGACACAATTCTTTTAGCCTTACGAGTTATCTTTCCTAAAGAGAATGAACACTTGTAAGTTGCTTAGAGAATATTTCTGTTTTGTCTGTTTGTGATTTAAACTGCTTAAGAGTTTAAATGAAGTTTGAGAATTTCCTCCACGTACTGTCACTGGGACAAGGAGATGCCAAGGAATGTTGAGATATGACTTGCAATATGCTATCATCATTACACCACAGAATCTCTCAGCTTGCTGTGTTGTACATTGTGCTTACACATGCATACACACAAAAAAATAGATATGAAAAAATAAAACCAATGCAATAGGCAGAGGACCTGCTACTTTGGTATTTTCTTATGGGAACAGACTAACAGTAAAAATATTTATGTAAGTTATTTTCCCATTGGGTCTACAGTGAATAGTTTTATGTTAATACTTCTTAATACTTCCATGAGTTTAGAAAATAAGGACAACATACAAAACCAACAAAGATAAACATTTTTATCAAAATACAATAATTTGCTTAATGAAACTTATCCTCTAAAAGCTCTTTACCTCCACAGTTCTGTTTTTATTTACTTCTGGTTTATCACTGTCACTTCTATCTTCTTTTTCAATGTTTTCTTCACCAGGTTTTCCAGGTTTTTCTTTTAGCTTCTCTTCTATGTCTACTGGAGTGGAAAAAGTGGCTTCTTCCAACCATTCATGAGCTTTTTTCCTAGCCTGCCAAACAAAGAACCCAACCCCAAAGTTCAGTTCAAATAGGGAATATCAAAGTATGGCCCTGAACATTAATTAACAATACATTTAATTACTTCATTTTTACATTTAGAAGTTTAAACATATCAAGCCTCTATGTGGAATTTAGTTTAGTTAAGTGTATACTTAAGAAACTCTGGGGAGAAGCATTTCTGACTGCTTAAAGATGTATCACCCAGGGATAATTCCTCTACAGGTATGATACTTCTAACCAGCACATAGTGTTGGCATTAAAAAAAAAGTTACTAATATTTCAGCCTTAGGAGGTGAAAGGAATTTAATCTTTCACAGGAATTTACATAGAAATAATTTTGCAAAATCAAAAAATAAGAAGGTGGTATAAAAAATTGACAAAAAAAATATTTGAGAGGTAAGAGAGATATACTAAATTCTTAAAGGAAAAATAAACAGAAACTCACTGTATCTTCAGCTGCCTTGCCAGGCATGAAAGTAGATCAAAGTGGAAAAGCCTTGAAGTTCTACACAACTTCAGACTACTGTTAAGGTTAGTAGAATATTTATGATGTCTCTTTTCTAACATGAAGTTAAAATAAAATATATCATGCCTTAACCCTAAGCTAGTTATTCACAGTCTATATATGCAGCTAGAGAGATTAAGATTCATCTGAGCCTAAGGTAACCAGGTGAATCACCTTTAAAGGGGCCTGATAGTACAAATGTGATTAGCGATGTGATTAGCTTCTAGCTGTCTAACTTTTAGATGATTGAAGCTAGATGGGATAAAGCCAAGACTTTGCTTCCAGCTAAGAAGGCCTGGAGAAGTTCCTAAGAAGAGTAAACATGATGAGCAAGAAAAATAATTCTGAATCTGACCTTTGTTCCCAGTATGTCAGACCAAATCTGCTGTGCTCATGAACTCTGATCTGCTGAAACACCCCTGGGTCAAGGCTTTCTAACAGAGTCCATTGTGCTAGCGAGTCACCGAGACTGTATTGCCTTACTAATCTCTCTTCTCCTCTGAAAGCTTTTCTGTATTCACCATTTTAGTCCCACCCTCCTGTACTTTGCTTTCTGAACTGTCTGAACTGAGCTAGGTACTGCTCTGTGTCAGACTTCAGAACAAAGCCTTCTCTCTTTGTTGAAGAAACAGAGGGGCAGCTCACTAAGAGGTGCTAACCTTATTGAGTTTGTCAGGAGTAGCAGCAACGTGCAATTCAAAGAGCAGTTCAGTGAGCATGCTGACGAACTCTTCTCCCATATCTGCTGCAAGAAAAAACAAGACAATTTTTGTTAGGGTGTTATCACTGTAATATTTTATACGATCGAATACATCGAGTCAAATAGTTTCCCCAGGCGCTCTGGCACTTGAAGAATAGTGACTGTGGTGAACGAAAGGGATGTGTGGGTGTGTGCATGTGTATGCTCAAATAAAGAAAAGAACAAGCAAGAGAGACACCTGCAAAACCTGATATGCTAGCCTGGCTCTTCGACTACTCTTTCTACCCCATTCTAAGTTCCACTAAGTTTCACAAAAACAGGTAAGAGGAGATGCAGCTGCGTGATCCCTAGTTATCTGACCATACATGACCCACAAAATCACTGTAGATACTAACCTATTCTTTCAAACCAAGAAATAAAAACTGCAGCAGGGCCAGATACAAGTGAGTTTCAGAGGAAACATACTGGAAAACACTTTCTCTATTGCTCTGTCTGCAAGCCACACCTAGAGATGTCTTTTCTTTCTATTTTAAAATTGAGATTTGCTTCAGTGAAGAATGTTTTCTGTTCTGCTTTGGAGTAATGAGCCTTAAAGAACTTGTACTTTTATTTCACAAGGTTTTTGAGCAAAGATAAATATCACCAGTACTTGAATTTCATCAGTATTACGTATCTCCCTTTGACTACTTGCAGTTGCCATATTTTAACACACTCCAAGTTCCTAAAAGTTAGGATTTTCTTTGGTTCTGTTCACCTGCACTTACTGAGTTTGGACTCTTAATTTCCTGGAGGAATATATAAAATCCATTCTTTTTAGCCTGTTGACACTAAAAGGCTGAAGTCCCTGTACTGAGCCTGATAAAAGTCTAGCTACTTCAAAAATTAATTTCATGTCTTGCCATATTCTGACTATTTTTTGTTCATTTATTAGGTAAGGCCAGTTCTTCCAACTGGTATGCAAATTTGGTTTGATTTATGCAAATCTTCAGTACTGGGCTTAAAAGTGGAGGGCCATTACCTTCCAAAGAGTTTGGGGACTTTGGTAGAACTGTTTACAGTCCACAATACCTTGCAACACGTGGAAAGGTGGTGGAATCTGATGCTCAGATTATACTCTGCTAGAACAAAGGAATCTCATCCTTTGTAAAGAGACATCTCATCTTGTAAAGAGAGTGCCTCCAGAATCATAGAATGGTGGGGGTTGGCAAGGACCTTAAGATCATCTAGTTTCAACCCCCTCTGCCATGGGCAGGGACATCTTTGGTGCTAGAAAATAAATCAGTATTTAGCATGAAGAACTGTTCACCTGCAGTGGCCAAGAGACTGAACTTTCCTCTTAACAGCAGGGGAGCAGTCATGAAGATTGTATTCTGGCAGGCCAAAGAGAAGCACAGAGTTCGTTTCATTGCTGCCCTTACCAGTAAATTTTGGCAATAGGATTTTCAGGTTTTGCAATACAGCACCTCTTGGATACATTGAATTCACTTGTTCTTAAAGCAATGCCAAATGGTATTATAAACTGCAGCATGCTGAAAACTGGTATGCAGTTCACTGGATCAATGCAAACTTACCCAAATTTTTGATAACTGGCATATTCAATTTAATACTCACTTTGGTTCCCATGTCCCTTAACCTCACATATGAAATTTTTGGTGTTAATGGCTTTCAGTATGTAAGAAAAGCTACTTTTTCAGATACTCTCCTCTCATTATTTCATAAAGAACTGAAAGGAAAAGAAGCTGCAGTGAAAAATACATGGAAGGGTTGCATAATCAAAGAGGAAACATTAGAGAAAAGGGTATGCATTTGGCCTTCTCCTACTTGTGTCAGAAAATGTCTTTTCCTTTTCTGTCTTTTCATATTGATTTTGACTGTTAAGCAAAGACGCAAAAAGAAAAAAAAAACTACAAAATTCCAGTTTCAAGGTGGCCAAGAGCAAGCCCAAATCCTTTCCCAAAACACTCCTCCAAAGATCGCTGCAGTTATTTATCCTTCTGTAGGACTGAAAGAGTTGAGAGTAGAAACTAAAGGCAGCACTAGCATCTCCGAATGAGATTCTGAGAGCCGAGGGTACCCTTTCCAAACATGGGAATGCAAAAGTACCGGTCTTCCTCCCAACTAGTCTTTTTTTTTGCTGAATATGTATAGCACTGGCAAATAGCATCATACAAATAACATTACTTTGGTGATGAGAAAGTGGTAACAAATTACCAATAAGTAGTAATTAACTTGTTTTCAAATACTGTTCAGTGGCTAAAAAAGATTTAACATTTTCAAACACTGCTAGTTAATCTCCATCTTTTCTAACTTTTCTGAAGGCTAGAGAAATCACACATCACAATCTTGCAAAATGTAGGTTTTATTGGCAAAACACCCCTGAGAAGATCAAGATGTGGAAGAAATATCTTTTAATGTTCCTTAAACGCAACAATATAGCGTTCAATGTCTTAAGTCAGTCTTCAATCAAGTCAAAGGGGTTGTTTCTATCAGCTAGAAGAGGTTTGGTATGGAGCTCACAGTCCTGAAAGGCAGGAACTATGGTGGCTTTAAGCTAACTTTTTATCCTGTTCTCAGCCTGTTCTGGGGAATGCCAACATTCCTGATCTGTTTAAGACACCTGTTTTGCCCCTAACCCATCTTACTGTAACCTTTGTGAGCTGATCTATGGACTGTCCTGTTCTCTTCAATGTGCACTATGTCATTGTTACAGCATGCTCTTGCTGCTTTAACTTATTTTTCACACTTCACATCCCATATCTTGCCAAGCAATACCTAGAAAGCAGCTTTGCCATATGTTTCAAAGTGACTTTCTCTGAAAAAGTTCAGGATTATTAAGTCTCTTTATCACACTCTAACCTTTTCCCTATCCAGCAAGGGAGGGTGCAAAGTGTGGATGAAGTTGCTAAACAGAAAAGCATTGCTAAAGACTTCAAAACTTTCAGATTACACAATTTCATAAACAGGTTCTGTAAGAAAAACTCAGTTATGCAAAAGGTTATTATTTTCCCTTCTTATTTTTGTTTTGCTTTCACTGACAATATAGCAAAGTAATATAATACTTCCTCATGTTATATTTTCTACATCTCACACTTCAATTACAATATAAATTCAAAATTAAGCATTGATTAGCTTCCAGAACTTCCAGAATATTAATTTTATGAAAATACTAGATATCAGAAATTGTATTTTGGATTGTACTTTTTTTTTGTAGTCTCTGCATTTCAAATTACCTTTCTGTGCCTGCACCACTTCATCATCTGATTCCTTTGGAACAAAAACCTCTTTTATAGCAATTAAGTCAGTTTTCACAGTCTCCAACTGCTCTCCATCAAGTGTTGCTAAATATGACTGAATCTGTAAACGAAAGGACATTTTGAAACTAAAAGTAAGCATTCTTCACCAAAACAAAGCAGCTCTTAAGTGCTAATTTGGAGCCTGATACCAAAATAGGCTAAGAAACAGAAACTTCCATTATGCTCAAACCTTCCACTGTAGACACATTCTTAGTTTTCAAATTTGTTGAGTATGACAAAAATTACACCAGCCTTGCAAGATCATCAGGTCTCTACCTTCTCCCAGAACATAGCTTTGAATTACAAATCTGTGGTGTAATTGCAAACTGCAATAAACAATTGGGGATAGCTTGGATGAAAGCAGCAGGCAAAAAGAGCACAGGCAGAATTCATGGTTAGTCTGACCATTCACAGGAGGAGCTGGAAAAAGAAGCCTGTCTCCTTCAAAATGCAACCAAATTTATTGACAGCCTACCAGCCTACCTGATCTGAAGAATGTACTGACAGGTCTTTGCATGTCTCAGGGACCTGCAAGTCCCTGCATATCTGATAGGTCAGCATGCCTAAGAGGGATGGAAAGAGATTCTTTGAATCGCTGTTTGTTTGCACTATAGTTACATGGCGTTAATCACACAATCTCAGTCTCTACCAAACCAACAGAAATGCCTTCTGCCCTTTGATACAAAATGTTACTTTTAGGTTTGTTTCAAGGGGTTTTTTTAGAGCTTGCTTAACAGACATGCAGACTGGCTCAGAGAGAGACTGGAGAAAGGTGCTATTTTCTTACATTATCTTCTTACTGCTCCTTCGTGTGTCCAGCTCATTATGCTCAGGGTTAAATGCAAAGTTGGGAGATCTGACTCAGGTTGTGAAGGACTACCTAGGACTCTCTGGTCACTCTCTATAACATTATCCATATAAAAATCTTATAAAATCCTATATATGAAAATAGGATTCATTTGGAACTTTTTTTAATGGAAACTTTTAAAATAAAAGCTTAAAAATATTTTTATATCTCTGCTATTAGAAACACACAGGACATTAGTAATGCCTTCAGTCCCTTGCACTACTTCTATGGCTTTTGGGCTGCCAGTATAGGTCTCAAGCTTACAGTACTGTATTTTGTGCATGTCTGTATGATTTTTGGAATATTTATCAGGGAACTGGACTTGTATAGTAGGTCTGGAATTCCTGCCTGACACAAAACCAAAAGACTTCAACCTCCTTGCAGGTTCTGAAGACATGTGCATAGTGCCACAAGCTGAGAAATACACACTATATATGATCCTAACAAAAGTAACTTTAAGCTAGGAAACTGAGTTAATCTTGGAGTTAAACTTTAGATGTATTTAGATTGATTTCCTGAACTCAAGGACTGGCCTGTGGGACCAATCCAACTTTCTCTGAAGCTGATGGAAAACTTACTGTTCATTCCACATGCAACTGCAGAGTAACATTAAAGATAATTTTTTGCCAAACCATTTTGATTTATGCTGTCTGCATACTGTACCTGAGCTTCACTTTCATTTGACAGGATTTCCAGAGCTTCAAGATGAGACAAACCTTGGAATTCATCAAAAAGTAGTCCATAATGGGCTGTTCTTTCAACTGTAACTTGCTGGGCCCTCCTCTGTTTCTCTTTTTCTTTAGCTTCACGCAACAGCTGCAAAAATACACATACTTTCTGTTGGTTTATGGGTAGTGCTGTAGGTATGACAGGTGTTATTAATTTCTGCTTCTGCTTGTCTAGGAAGTAGTAATAAAATTTGGGACTATATCACACCTGCAGAGGTGAAATTTTAGAGTTGAAATATCTAACTTCTCTAATAAAGTATTTCAGTAGTATTCTAAGTGTGTTTTTCACAGTGGTAATTGCTAATCATCAAATAATCTTGCTTATGTTCTCAAAAGCAACATTGGCTGTGGATACCGTACAATGAATTTAGCCACCAATTACAATGAAAGAAAAATAAGGACCATTCCATACACAGCCTTAAAGAGTCATGCAGTCCATTCCACAGGCCACAAAATGGGAAGAATATTATTTTTAGGACCTACACATTACTTGTATAAATAATGCACCTACTAAATATTTCCTATAACATATTTTTACCATATACTAAAGTCAGTTTTATGTGACAGCAGGACTGACAAAAGAGATTGGTCTAGTAAGGTATGACTTTTTCCAAAGGTGGGACAGAACTATACTCTGTATAGTTGGGGATATTTTGGAGTGGTCTTCTTATACACTGCTATTAGTGTACAGGAAGGATAGACCACTGTATAGAATAGGATCTCCTATTCTTTCCTTCTAGTCCCAGGAATAAATGGCCTCTTGTATGAATTTGTTACAGCAAAGCTGGTAAATACATCTGAACTGCATCTTAAGTCACACGTAAGCCTCTGAATACAGGTAAACTCTTTCCACTTACACTAGTCCATCATTCAAAATTTCTAAGATATTGGCTTCAGTTATTAATTTGTCACAAAAGACTTATGATGGTTGATTTTTCAGTCTCCATCATCAAAAATCACTCACAAAGTTTTATGTACAAATCACTCAGAAGGAAGCACTGTGTTATGCTACCCAAGAGAACTGATTTATGTCACTTTCTGCCTCAGATTTTATGTGTGAATTCACGTACATTGTTTAGGAAGGTATTCTCAAAAGCTCTTTTTAACCCCATAGGCCTTAACAAGAGTTACTTGCTTTTGGCCTACTACAACAGTATCAGCCTGTTCACACTTAGAATGACAAACACCAAAGATGAAACATCTCATTAAGAGAAAAATACCTTACTCCCCCCTACAAGGAAGTGAACATAAAGTAAAATTACATTTTTTTCCAATGTCTATTGATTTCCATAGCCTCCCCCCTCCCAGTGTCTGGAGAACTAAAATAATTTTGTACTGACAGCACTTATGCTTCTATTCTGGTTTTATAATATCCTTGAACTTTCAAACATATGAGTCACAACTGTGTAAGGGTACCATTAGTTTAGATGAATATTAAGATATAACTTTTCCCAGCTTTAATTCCTAATGAAACATATGTCATATTCCAGTATTACTCATTTCCAAGGACAGTACTATCGTGATGTTTATGCTGGAAGCTATCTAGCTACAGCTGACACAAAAACATGAACAATTTGTTTCTGTCTCCAGAGTGTAATGATTTATCACCACATATACTATCTTATTAAAATCTGCTATTGCACATGTGATTATGCAGAAATGATGGTTTTACATTATCTTTTGCGGTTCTGTGAAGAAAAATAAAGTGAAGCAAATACAAAGCATAATATTTATTTCCGTAAGCCTAGCCAATACCCACTGCAATAAACAAAGCCTCTCCCTGAGGCATCTAAAATTATGCAAAAAGAATTGACAGAGCTGCATTTAAATAAATCCAACCTGAGAGAGAGAAACTGTTCTTGCCATCAATGTTTTGGTTCTCTTAAATCCAGGATCGCTTTCTGCAAGGACATTCATGGTTGTCTTCCCAATAAATTCCAAAGCATCTAAGCCTCCAGATAAAACACTCTTCCCCTGTACAAAATAACACAATGTGGTTATTTTCTTTCCACTTTATGCTAATATGAACTGCAAGAGTATTGCTTTTGCCAACACTGGTTTTGAACATTCAGGTACCTAGATTTTCTGTGCTTTAACTTACAATAGATACAATACATTTTTTAAATTATGGGGTTTTTTTGTTCTGAATACACTTTCAATAAATGAACTATCAAATATCTCTGGTTAATTAAAAGACTCATATTGGAGAAAATTAACAACTGTTGCCAATAAAATAATCACGGGTAATACCACTTTAATTTCATCTGAAGTGGCATCTAGTCCTTGCAAACATATTTTACATATGAATAATACGGAGACAAAATCTCTCAGGAACAGGATGACCCTACCATACCTAACTGCTTTCTGAAATTTTATCATTTGTAAGGACTCTGCAACTGTTGTTGAAATACAGTTGTTTTTCCTGTGTCTTCATATTAGCATTAGCCCTCACTCAAAATCTTTCACGTACACTGAAGAATTTTCACTGGCTAAAGATTTCAACTTCAATCTGATCATGCATCTGTCAGATGCTCCTGATATATTATGGAAAACCCTACCAAAGTCTCAAATGGCATTACAGGCAACTTACTGAGACCTTAAATTATTCTTTTGGTTTGGTGACATACATCACTGTGGTACAGTACCTTCTCTAGGTTTGCATAAGAGCACATTTCTCTTATTTGCCAATCTTCTGCAATGCTCCAGTAATATTACTGGTGTTCAGCTCTCACAAGCCCTACAATGCTCCAGACAGTGTAGGAACAATCTTAGGAATAATCTATAGGAATCTCCTTCTGCTCCCAAAATCTTTGATATTAAGAGTGATGAGGCACTCAGAGTGAACTGGATATGCACTAAAAAAGGAATTGCCACTTCGCAAAATATGCTCAATAGGGAGTTAGTCTTCTATGCCTTTTTAGCTGACGCTTAAAGTCTCTTAAAATTTCAAGGGAAACACCATATGGAAAAGCTCAGAGGAAAACATTTGCTGTGATAATGTGTGAGAAAACGTTGGGGAAGAAAATTACACAAAAATTGATTTGGAAACAGTATGGTACAGGATTTTGCAAAAGCTGCAGTGCAGAAAACCAGAAAAGGATGAAGTGCAACACATAGAAAATGTATGGAGAGTGTAATAGCCAAGAACCATGGACAAACGATTTTGCGTCCCTGAGTCTGCAATCAGACCACCTTCTGTGAAGGCGGATATGAAATGAGAGACTAGAGAGAGAGTTGAAGGTAAGGGCCAGGGACTAACAGTCAAAAGTTTAGTAAAAGCCTTAAAATAAGCAAATGGAATAGTTTCTTATTTCATCTGCCTTCAGAAATGACAACAAATCTCATTATAACTTTCTCTGGAAGCACTTAACACTAAAAAAATATAAATCAGATGATGGTACCACAACTACAGAAATGATTTACAGAGAACTGGAAAATTTTGACATAGTTTAGGAGCAGACTGTATTTTTTACTGAAACTACTTTTGTAGTTTTAGTAGTTACTACTTTGGTAGATTCAATCAAAGTAGTAACTTACTTAGTTGTTCTGAGTGTTCGGGTTTTTTTATTAGATACAATTATTTTGCCGTGGAAGAGACTCTAAACAGACTTGCAAGACAACTGTTTTTACAATGATCTACAACTTAACAAATGTGACCTACAGTGAAGTTGCACTTAAAAATTATGAAGAATAACTAGAACAGAGAGGCCAGCTAAAATGACTCACTGTGTTCTGAACAGCATTAGTGATAGCTGACAACATGCCACGAGATCCAGATGAAGGAGAAGAAGGAATATTCTCAGAAGAGCTTTGGTCCAGAGAATCTTCTGCTTCTAACAAAAGGAAAAGAGCAAGCCACAGCATACTTTCAACTCTACAAGTCACAAATTACAGTAAACTAGATTCTGTGGTCAAAACATTAAAATTCTGTAAATTGGACTAATTTGGCAATGTCAAAGAGTTTTGTCCAATTAGAGTGAACTTGAACTTACGTGTAATTGGTGTTTCAGCTGCAGGAGACTCTGCTATTTCTGAAGATGCTGAACTTGTATTATGAATTCCTAGGGTAGTTCCTGCTTTTTCCTTTACTGCTGTTATCCCATGACCTGCAGCAGAAGCATATTTTAGATTATATTATTTGAAAACTTATTACTAACAGTGCATGGTATTCTTATACTCCATGAATGATGACAATCATCATTCACAATTAAACTTACCCCATTGCTTAATTTTTTTGTAGGTTAATAATTCACTTGTTCTTCTGACTAGAAATGATAAAGCTGAAATACACTGCAAATGACACTGGATCTGAAATGCGAAACTTGTTTCAGTGGCACATGTAAGTTTAGTTCCCTGCTTTTCAAGAGGGAACAACCCACAATTAATGGTCTGTGGGCGACTGCAGGGCTGAGATAAGCAACCTGTTCTTCAGTCTGCTGCACAGGTGCTATGTTAGGTAAGTATTTTAGGAATACTGACCCAGGTCCTCAAAGTTATTTCAGGATTTAAGCTCCTCAGTTGCTCACTTGAAGTCAAATTCTAGAGTGTCTCTTTAGTAGCTGCGACTTTAGTATACTTTGTAAAGCCTGTTGGTGTCAGATGACACAGACAGAAATATTGTTTCAGTGGCAGCTGATCTCCCGCAGAGATTCTATCTGACCTTTACCTAACATAGCGACTCCCTAAGTCTCTGTTCTATTTAAATGGTCTAGTTTAATGTACAGAATATATATTATTAGGGTTTCTATCTGAATAATTTTGACAGAATAGGATTGCTTTGCTGCTTTTCTATACAGAGTTCATTTACACTAGCAGATCCCATGGACTGGTAGTATCCAGCTATAGATTAGGGGGAATTGCCTGTAGTCAGCAAAAGGAGGCAATAGCTTCCTAACCTGTATTAGCTGTAGTTGAAAAATGCTGCCCTTGAAAAAAAGACTACCCTCAAATTGCCTCTGGATATGTCTACAAGCATGTTCCTGATACGCTTCTCTCATTACAAATGATCCAGCTAGTACATCTTCCTTAGTTGTAAGTTTCTGCACATCAGCTGAGACGCAAGAAGTAAACAACCAACCAGGCAAGCAATATTTCTTTCCAACACAAAACGAAATGGCTTCAGCTACCCTATGTGATTTTTTCTTGCTCAGTACACTGTTACTGCATCTCACATGGAGCTTATCACTTCTAGCAGCAGGGCAATAACCATCTGCCTAAACACTTGTGAGAAGTATTAATGACAGTTTCATACTTCTTTGCTTTGTTACCTTAAAGTGAACTGCTAACAGAGAAATGATTTCAGAATAGGTATTAATGCAGATGCTCATGCAGATACTTAGAATATCTAAGGCACAAAGTCAAGCACAGCAATTCATTAAATGTTGTCCATACTTTCCCACAATTGTGGGCACTGTTAGGAAAGTTCAAAGCATTTTTCTGAGTTACATTAACTACAGCAAAATAAGCTATCATTTGCCAGTGCTCTGCAGTGTTCTAATAAACATACACATAAATACGCTTTTGAACATCTGATCAAAGAAAGATGCAGCAAAAGTATCTGAAATGGAGTAGGAAGAAGGAAAGCTTAGATTTATGATTCTGTGATTTCCAGATGGATTGCACATCAGGTGCTCTATGAATTCAGTAATAAATATACTCTAGAAAACACATGTGAAGAAGCACTACTGAAAGATCACATACAAGAAAACTGGGATATCTGGAGGTAAACACAAAGAACAGATGTCCCCAAAGGAACAGACAAGCAGAAACAAATAATTTTCTGTATGACAGAAATGGGGTCCTGTCGGTCCTTATGTTTTACGTTGAAACAGAGAGACTAGGCAGGTAAATCCTTTTACATGTCTAAAGAAAATATGACTTTTATCTACATTATGTCATGTCATACAAAATGTAGCAGTCCGTCCAACTGTACAGGACATACCAGATTATGCACCACAGTGATTTAAGTCATTGCTGGATAACTTCTGGCCTTCTGCAAAATCTGTTCCAATGCAGATACTGGAGAGCAGAGCACTACTTTGTCTAATCCCAATCTCCTGCACATTTTAACTGATTCAATGAAAATATTAGCATAAATAGATTGAGCCATTTATTTACTCTACAAATTCCTGGAACTCACTTTAATAATTATTAATTGTGCTTTTAAACTCAGGTAATAGATATTCCATATCACATTCCTTTCCATTTCTCTTGCTCACAACTTTTTAAATGAGCAAAAGGTTCTGTTCTTCCCATTGACTTATTTTTTCTTAAGGTCTTGACTTGCTAACAAAATATTATTGTCCCGTAACTATACAAAAAAATAACCATGAACATTAAGCAAAAGCTTGTTTTTAACTGTGTAAGTTATGGATTTTCAGATTAATTTCCCTTTCTTTTTTTTCCTGTACCTAAAAATGGTGTTTTTTTTAATATTTTGTCATTTGATTCTCATAGTTTTGCAGACAAGTTCATACTTCCAAGAAAAAGAGGCACTCAGTTGCTGTACTGATATTTACAGACTTGCAATAGGCAGCATTTTCATGGCTGTGGTTACGTGCACTAGAATGGTAAGAAAATACGTCAGGTCAGCCAGGACAAGTTTTGGTGGAGTAAGCTGGATGGCATGTATGTTTGATAACAACAACAAAATCAGATGAGATCAGAAGACCACAGCTGAAGCACATCAGCAGCATTAGATACACATACATGCACAAACACAGCAGTAGCTCATGTTGCTTTAGAAATTAAAACAATTATTTGTAATTTAAAAAGACACAGAAATAAAAGAGGTTATGGGAGACGAGCCTACATTTTAGACATGAAGGTGCACTGGCTTTGCTACACTGGGTGTTGTAACACAACAGAGCTGATATTGTAAACTTAGGAACGCCTCCAACACCTCCATTTACTCATCTGTGGCAGTGGAGACAGAAGAGCTATGCAGTGGTTATTAGCTGCGTACGTTTTGAAGAAAGCATACCTTTTTCCCTGTGTTGTTGCTTTTATTTTTCTTGCCTACATGATTTATTTTCCTTCTATTGGCTGGTGATTTCAGCAGAATGATGTTGTTCACTTTGCTAGCTGGAATCTTTTATTTGAAAGGGAAGATTATGCAAGCAGTGCCTAAAAATGTGGCCTGCCTTTGAGTTTGCCTGATCTGCCCAAGGCCAGATTACAGCGCTCACGAATGCTTTAGTCAGATACCTCCCACTTCACTTTAGGCTCTTCTATCTTCCACTTCCCAGCTTAGTAGCTTTGGATTCCCTGCAGAGCTGAAAGAGGCCAACAGACACCTCGGAGGCAGTTCAGCACGTCTGAAATCTAAACCATTCTCTGGAGGAATCGCTGTCCTTTGTTAATCCAGTACTCTCAGGCAACTGGATGCCCTGTTTCAATAGTACAGACAGGGAAGAAGACTTTAAGATCTTGTCGCTGGCTGACACAGAGTCTTCATTACCTGTCTTGCACCACAGGGGCACTTCTGATGAGCAAGTGATCAAACTTCAGTCAAGTAATATAATTAAGCTTCATCTGGTTTGAGATAAAGATGAAGATCGAGGCCTTAAATTAGCATCTGACACTGAGAAACGGAGGAACGTGAAAGATGGCTGTTCGGGGGAATCACTCCACCATATGAAGCATAGATATGTGGAAAAGCCAGTTGTGTTCTGGTTTTGTACACTAAAGAGTGGGACCCCATTATGCTCACTTTGAGACTATCCTGTTGGCACTCCATTCACTTCAAGGTTTTAGAAAAATTCTCTTCCTTGTAGTTAAAATAAAACCAGAGACTAGATTCTGATAATACCTATTCTATCCAGTCTGTAAATCAGGAGTAACTCCAATTCAGCTAGTAAATGAGACTAGTTTCAGATCTCCTTAATGCAGTCTTAAATGTCTTAATAACAGCAATAGGCTATCGTGTATAATTGTACTATTGCTACAAGTATAGAAGCTGCTTTTAAAAACGGAAGTGACAAGCTTCAAGTACAGACTGAGAATATATTATTCCTCACTTAAGCCCTGGGCATAAAACGTTTGCTGTTGCAGCTAAGATGACCTAATGGCTTCTTGGTGCTGGTATGGGAAGTTCTGCTCCTTCCATGTTTCACATTTGTCCCTTCTGCTTGCCCTGGCACTTATCTCAGTGAGTTGGTTCAATTAACTGAAGAGGCAGAAAATGTATTTTTCTTTCCTCTATAGTTATTATTATGTCAGTTTAGCTCCTGACTGGATTACCTGGTGCTCAGAGGAGCATCAATGCTGGCACAGGAAGGATGAAGAAACATGCCAGGAAAAGAGGTGCAGGACTGCACATTTCAGTGGCTGCTAGCCATTAGATTGGCTTAGCTGCAATGGTAACCCACTGTTAGAGCAGAGTTTTACCAACACTGTTACTAAAAGACTGGATGGTGTAATTGATGATTTACTAAAAGATACAGTTTAAAAAAAAAGAGGGTAAAATGGTGACTGTAAGTACAAGAAATTGTGTCTCCAAATTGCAGTGACCCTATTTCTCCCATCTCATCACCTCAGCAACTATCTCAGTGGATCTACTCCACTGTAGTAGAGTGGGGTTGGTTCCACAAGGGGGAAACCAGATTTCCTGTACCTTTTAAAAACAAAAGAAAACTTCACCTCATTAATGAGATTCAATAACTTTCTTAGTGTGACATCTAGTGTCAGACACTAAGCATGGTTCAGACAGTGACTGCTACTAATCCAAACACATTAGAGATTCTGTTGCGTAGGGGAGTATCACACCTGCGTTGTGGCCAGGACCTTGATCCAGGTAATGTCAAAATCAGTTCAAAGACAACGGATCTTTTCTTTAGAATCCAAAACCATCTCCAGAACAATCATTAGCTGTACTTGCAAAAGGTAAAGAGAAATAAGACACAAATTAAATGGAAACTACCTTATTAGTAGTTAACTAAAATCAGCTATGCTAAACAAAGTACAGCCATGCAGTAAAAATGCTAATCTGTTTGGGAACAAATCAAGCTTTGAAGGATAATGAAATGACATAACGACACCTTGCATTAAAGCAACCTGGTCTAGTGTGAGGGGTCCCTGCCGATGGCTAGGGGCTTGGAACTAGATGATCTTAAGGTCCTTTCCAACCCTAACCATTCTATGATTCTATGATGATTCTATGAAACCAAAATCCTTGGAACAATCATTTCAGCTCATTCTTAAACAGAAAGGAACACAAGAACATTTTTTACAATAAGAATGATCACTGGAACAACCTCCCCAGGAACATGCTAGATTCCCCATTGCTGGAGGTTTTCAAGATATGACTGGACAAGATGCTAAACAATCTCATCTAGGCACCCTTTCCCAGAAAAGCCTGGACTAGATGATCACAGAATCATAGAATGATCAGGGTTGGAAAGGACCTTAAGATCATTTACTTCCAACCTCCCTGCCATGGGCAGGGACACCTCACACTAAACCATGTCACCCAAGGCTCCGTCCAACCTGGCCTTGAACACTGCCAAGGATGGAGCATTCACAGCTTCCTTGGGTGACCAGTGCCTTCTTTGAGGCATTCCAGTGCCTCACCACCCTCACAGTAAAGAACTTCTTCCTTCTATCTAACCTGAACTTCCCCTGTTTCAGTTTAAACCCATTACCCTTTGTCAATCAAGCCAATGATCTTTCAAGGTCCCTTCCAACCTACACTGTTCTGTGATACTATTTATTAAAAGTTAAATGTATTTGCTTAGGCCTTTAAGATGCTATCTAGTGTACCTCAAACCGTTTCTGCTATTTTGTCAGAGTACAATTTTGAAGAAAAATATAAGGAATAGTAAGTATTTGTCATACTTAACCAGACAAGCAGCTGTGTTGTACAACGATAATGACAGAGAAACAGAAAAATCACATACTGAAGGTGTTGTTGATTCCAAGAAAGCAGCTTTACTTATACCATTTATTATACTGAAGGAATAAGCAAAATTAAAATGGACTGGATTGTGGCAAACCTATTTTCTGATGAAGAACAGGACATGAAGTGTTGGTTGAACTGCTCAAATACTAACTGGAATAACTTGAAGGGAAATAATAAATATTTAATAATAAGAAGAAAGATTATAGAAATTCCCAATAGCTTCTTCTTTTTTAATCTCTCTCTGCCTCTCACTAGGAATTATCATACTGAAGCAGACATATGGTATATGCCATTCCACGTCCTGTCTATGACATGATAGACAGATACTTCACAGGATCAAGCATGAATCTCCCTAAGAAGCAACCAGGAAATAAGCTCTCTATATCAGAAATATAAACTATTACCTGCTGCACTGATTTCTTGCAACAAATCTAAGATTATGTATGTGGTCTTTCAAGTTATTTCAGAAAAGGGAAGAATGTACATTTGATTTCTACTTAATTCAAAGTCTATTTAATTTAATAAATTCACAGAGAAAAGTTAGATCCAAAATTATTAGATATTAATATCTGAACTCAACCCTGTCCTGATCCCAGGGTTATGAAGTTGTAGATTCCAGGAAATGGGAACAGAAAACAGAGGAAGTGCTGCTTCACATACATCTGAGTTTAAGCTCTTTCCGAGTTGCTCTTGGCTGCTGCCAGAAACTAGGTAACAGATGGGTCTCCAGTGTGAGATAGTGCAACCATTCTCATGCAAAATTAAAATGATATTTAAATTTTCTTTCCCCTTTTCTGCATGTGGATGCTGCTTTGCCGAGGCAACCTGACCTGTTCCAACTGTGCTCATTAAATAATAATATTTCTAAAAATATATGTACAATGTATATATTCAAAATAGTCATCATCACACCATCTTATCAAGTCAGGCTACCTAGACAACAAATTTGTTTGCATATCTGCACTCTGTGAAGATAGTTACGATACTATGTTAAGATTTGTCAGATGGTATATTAAGATTTGTCTCTCAAACCTTTTCCAACACCATTGATTATTTTCAGGCAAGCTCACATCATTTGGGAAAAAAAAAAAAATCTACGGCCGTACTGTCCCACAGAAAATGTATGCACTATGTGACACTAAACTGATTGCTCAGTGAGGCTGAGACTTCACAGCAACTGAAGACTGTAAGGGAGATTGCTGCTGCAAGCCTGCAAAAATACTAACTGGTAACAAATAATCTTATTACTCACAAACAATATTAGAATGGCCATTTGATGAAATACTATTTATTGCAAAAGCTAAACAGAATCTAAATATGGCTATCTCACAGGCAAAAACTGAATGACCTGAAAGAGCTCTGTTCCAAGAAAATCACTGCTGCAACTATAAAAATAAACTGAATAATGCATCAGCATTACAATTCCAACTGCTCAACAGTAAAATTACTTTTATGCACATAAATTTTCTTCTTTAGTTATTTACACTAAGCCAGATTCTTTTCAGAATGCTGTTATTAGATGGTCTGAGAATGTAAGAAAGGCAAAGCTCGTTGATCTCTGTGAAAGTAGTACCCTTTATTAGACTTACTGATAGTGCTAGGGGAAAAATTGGTAAAATTTTCAACACAAGGACCCTTCACATCTGAAAGAGAAGTGCTGCCTTTAAGGTTAAATACAAATTGAGAACACTCATGCAGTTCCACAGCTAGCTAAACTCTTCTTGTCCCCATTGGCATGTCCTCTGTGTTCCCATCATTTCCCATTCAGTAGCATTCAGGTGATCAAATGGCAAGCCAGATTAGGGAATTTACAACTGATCCGGCTCAAGATCCAGCTCTTACTTCATCTGCACTTTTCAAAAATCAGTCCCATAAACCAGCTCCCCACATCACTACATGAACACTACTGTTAGGATAAGAGAAGGAAGAAATAGATTGCTGGGGCAGGACAGGCCTGCTCCTTTCAGCAGCAACCATCACTTATGTCAATTTTAAGACATCTTAGAAACCAGTTCTGAGTTTAATTAGATACATTCGTCGACTGGACTGTCTGAAAGAAAAGGTAGCTAAGAACGCTTGAGTGTGGGCATTACTGAAAAAAAGGAGAGGAGAAAGGAAGCTCCCTCCTCTGAGAAAGAGGCAGGAATAATTTACTGCCCATGGAACAGAGAATAAGGAAGAGAATTATTTAGCCTTATATGGAATTATAAAACCAGTATCTCTGTTGAATCTGTCACTTTTAGTAACTAGCAATTAATTTTAATTCCTAGTTTCATCTTTTAAAGGTGTTTTGTGGATCCTTTATGAGAACTGATTAGTTAAATGCTTAGTAGCTTTCTTGTGAGGAATGATTTCCCACTGGTAACTAGGTATTCGCGTGCTTCACTTTTTGTCTGAGAGTTTCAACATGTAATGATCAAGTTCTACCAAAAGTCTCTGCAAGGACATACTGAACCAACATACTATTGGAAATGAGAGTATAAGGAGAGGGAGTATAGGATCCATGTTTCAATACGTTGTTCTACTCTCTGAAGTCTGGTGTAATAGCTTTCACTGGGTGTCACTTAAAGCTGGAATGATTTATGAGGTGAATTCATACTGTGGAGATAGAAGTCATGGTGTTTAAATCACAAATAGCTATACGCTTGAGTCGGAGTTGGAGTGCTTTGCCTTCAAAAACTATAAGCCTTTGGCTGATAGTAACTGCATCAGATTATGTATCCCTTCTGTGAAGAAGCCACAATGAGGTCATTCACTAACTTTACAAACAATCCGAGTGACTTCTCCCTAATCTGACTCCAACAAGAAATATTTATGCTGTTGTCAGTTTAGGAAAGTCCTTCTTCCCATTAAAAAAAATCATGCTTGCCAAGCATATCAGGACAAAACTGTCTACGAATCTTGAAGATACAACACTACTGTTTGTAATTAAGATACTTATTTATTTCCATGTACTTTACTGATTGAACACTTACCCACTGTGGCAGAGGCTGATGACAGGAGAGACTTTCCCCAGGTACCCCAAGCTCCCCATCTACTTGCTTTAGATGAAGCGTCTGTGGCCTGTAAGAACAAAAATATTACTCCACTGTCTAAAGCTCATGTTTTCCAAAGGCAGGAGGAAACACAAAGAACCTGTCAGCTAACGAAGTCCAGCATCTAATAAATGATGACAGATTTGGTATTATTAGAGTTCAAGCTTCTGTGCATAAGAAAGCAGAACGGGAAGCTTAGCTTGGATCACCTGTTCTTGAAAGCACCTGAAACACCAGAGATGCCTTTACATATGTCTTAATATTTCTTCAGGCACCTGATTCTGTAAAGCCATATTAGTTCATTAGAGCTATTATTAGGGAGAGGCAGGAACCCATTTCCTTCCTTGAGTACTACTGGGAGCCAGAGTTAAAGGTTTCTCTGACTGAGTCTCCTCAGAGACCCAGTAGATGTGCACAGGGAACTCCTAACAACTGAGTTCAATAAAAATAGTCATATGAGGTGCCCACCTTTTACATTGATGTGTGGTATTAAGTGGTTGTCAGTATTCCATATTTAAATCATATTAAGCAACTGTTGTCTTAAGAAAGTCTCCAGTAACATATCATCCCTACACAATCAACTCAAAAGCAAAAGCTGAAGTATCCCAAGACAGCTCTGCAGTGTGCAGCATACAGCATACACCAGTGATCTCCCCCTACGAAAGGGGAATCACTGGTGGAGGGACTAAAACTTTTCCAGTTTGTTGATGCCTGAATATTTTTCAGTGGAGACGAGAACATCTTCAGCTATGTCATGTGTACTGGATTTGGATGCTGTAAAGACTGTAAAAAAAGCCTTGGTTTTGTTTTTTGTTTGTTTTCTTTTATTAACTTCTTGCAATTACTCACAGGGCTCCTGAAGGTCTGTGGATCACAGATCAAAACCTACTGGCCTAGAACAAATAAAAAAACACTGGCCATTTCACTGAGCCTTGTAAATCATACACTGTTTCTGTAAAGCCAGTGACTCGAAAATTAGCAAGCACAAGATTCAGTGCTTCATATGCAACTTAAATTCTGTCCTCTTCTAGGTTCATTCTGTGAACTGAATGAAGTAGATTTGTACAGAAAACCAGATAACAGTAGTATTATTTCTATACAAAATCAGTTAGATTCTTCGTATAGTTTTATTGCAACCAAGCAAGAAAGACCAAACTAGTATCATTCTGGCAAAAGAGAAATTCAACTATTCCTAGTTTCCAAAAGGTTGATGCTACAGTTCCCATGGAGGTTTTTTGTATATAACTCCCTAGGCTTTTGTGAAAAACTGAATGTACACTGTACAAAATTCTGTCCTTACAAAGCAGGGAGGGGAAGGCTTTTACGGAGAAAAAAGGTATTACTTACTGGGCTGCTTTGTTCATTCAGTGTTTCTTCAGATTCAGGTTCTGCATCAAGGCTTACAGTCTCACTGCACTCAGCTGGCATGTCTTCAGTTGCATCTCCATTGGAAGGCAGACTTTCAAGTAATTTTTCAGTCAAAGGGTTTTCATTAATAAATATGTCTCCTTCCTGTCTATAAACGGCACTCTGAGCAACCTCTCCATGTTTATCTTGTGAAGACTCATGCAAGATCTCAGCTTCCACAAGGTGTGGTACTGACTCATGAGGCAATACCTCATTGCTGGGCATTTCCATTACTTCAGGTTTTTCTTCTGATGGGATGCCATCACATATGTCTTCAGACATTTTCAATTCTGAATATAAAAACAAATTACATTTTTTAGGTTCCATAAACATTTGAATGACTATAAAATATGCAGTAAGCATATTTACAAGCTATTGCTGAAAAACACCACAGCCTTGATGGAAGACCTCCTGAAGTATGGATCCCTGTGGCACATGCATCATGCCGGCATTAGTATCATGATGATAATACTGTATACACCTTGCAGGATGTCACTCAAGTATGAAGAGCAGCACCACTGTTCTCCGAAATATGGTTTGGTAAAGAAGAAAGGATGTTCATTTAGCTGGAAAAGTCATACGTAAGAGCTTCCACATGGCTAATTCCTATGTTCTCTATTAGATGTTCCCTATTACCTATGAAAGACCACTATTGAACGGGACAATCTGAGCTGCAATAGCCAAACAGCTCTTGCTCTTCTTGTCATCGTTTCCACATAAACATGTTCCTATAGCCTACCGACTGATGGAGAGGAGGATGACAAAACACAGTGTGACAAAAACTGTGGTGATATTTATGTATTGGACAAAGGGCATAATTTGAGAACATGACAGCCCATGATCCCTGCAGCCATTTCATAGACAGGAAGCATTCATTGCTCACAGTTTCTGCATCACTTGTCTCAAAGGCTTACTGTTTGGGGAGTGCAATGCTTTTCATCTGCTCCTGAAGTTCCATCTGTGTGATTAAACTTCAGTTTTGAATCCAAAGTAAGCTTGCATGAGTTACAGCTACTGATTTTTATTTTTTCTGGTAAGTTACAAGCCAGTTTTCTCTTATTTACTCCTTATCTTCCAATGTAACTAACTTTTTCTATGTATTTTCCACCAGTGTGCAGTCATCAAGCTGAGGATCCAGGAAGGGAAAGAAATGGCTATTGAGCAGCTGATTAAGGAGCGGCACTGACAGAGTCCAAAAGGATTACTCTGCAGCGATTACTACCACTTACTTGTTGGCATCAACAGTATGCCTGCCACTGTGAAGACAACCCTTGACAGAGAGTTGTTATTGCAAGCTCTTGACTACCTGCTGAGTTGCATGGCATAAAATAAACTCACATAGTCCTCTCTGTAGATGTTGTGTTTTCACTGACTCCCATATTCAATACGGTTCAAAGCTTTGTACTTTTAGGAAGGACTGAAGTTCTAAGAGAAACTGAGGAACAGGAAAAAGGAAAGGTAAAAAGCAAATTATAACTGGGGCTTATGAGAAATCTGCCCTGAGCTGTATTTTATTAAAGTCTATAGAATCATGTACATCTGTGGCTTTAGCAGCCTGTTTATCTAACTGATGTAGATCATCTGTTTGAACAGTTCCAAGAATAGCATTTGGGATCAGTGAACAACAAATATAAATAAGTACTTAGCACCACTCATATTACTTCAGCTTACACTGTAACTTAATTACCTTTAGAAAACATGAATTTACAAGTCAGAACCTTTGCATTTGCCACAAGTATATAGCAAATACAATAAAATGCTTTAGTGTGGGTAAATACTGCCATTGTTTCAACAGTACTCACTGCGTGATTGGCAGCATCACCTAAAGAAATGTTTTTGTTTGTAAACCAAATTCCGCCATCAGATAAGAGAATCTTTTTCCAAAACCTGTAAAATCAGTACACACATGCATCATAATTTTGACGGGGACTGGATCTGAATAAAACAATGCCCAACTCTGGTACAACTTCGAAAGATCGCATATAACGTGCAGGACTGGGTCATCTTTGGGGAACCACTCAGGCCAAAGTCCCTGCAGCTGTCTGCTAAACCTTCCTTAAGGAAGCAAAGCACCTAACAGCAAATTCCCACATCTGTCAGGAAACACGAGCCGTGCCTGAGCCGGGGGCAAGGCGTCACTCAAGTTGTCATCCGTGAGGCTATTCTGATCCAAATCACCCCGGACAACTCCTTATCAAGGGCATTGACTCTACAGATAGCTCATGAGGGAGACGCCGAGGCCAGCTCCGCACCGGGCGCCAGGCAAGCACCCCGCCCGCAGCCGCCCT